AATGACTTCTATCAAGGCTTTCTCCTTAGCCTTGGTTTTCTTAGGCTCGAAGGTTGTGGAGTGGATCTATCTACTAGGTCTACCCCCATGGTCTTCCAAATAAATTAATTTTCCAAGTCCCCAAGTGTCCTGCTTGGTCTTTCCCCTTATTTCACAACTTTGACTGATTTGGGTATTGCAAGGGCTTTGCCTTAGTCTCTCAAAACCCGACAAGTCAAGGGCTACCGGGGCGGGATGCTCCAATTTCCACAGATGATTGAGTCAGTTGAGGGTTTTGCGCAATGTGGTCTGGAGGCTATACCTCCTCATACACTTTGTTTTCCTAACCTGGCCCAGGATTGAGGACAAGCTCTCAATCTGTTTTGAAAAGACCAAAGCTTTCGGAATGCAGGGTCTCTAGACCGTTTGCACCAATAGGAGCTACCGCTGTCTGACAGCTGTCAATGAAACCTGTAATATTCCCCTTGGGGAAATGCATGAGGGTTTCCCGGATTCTCGCTGAAAAACATATGACTGTCTCGCATTCTAAAGAATCTGAATCAATGCGAGGGGTCCTTATGCCTCACAGGATGGGTTCATTCTAACTCCCTTCATGAGGCCTGCAATTGTTTCTCCGCACCCTTCCTGACCCTGAGTCTCTCTGATGTCCTTCAAGTGCAGTCCGTAGGCTCCGCTCTTGGCATTCACCGCGTGCCTTAATTGTATGACATTAAATCAAGGTCCGCTGTGAACACGGAGGGCAGAGTCTCTGATCTTGATCCAGAAGCAACTGACTCATTGCAACTATCACACTTTCCTCTTTGCCCTTCACCCTCCCCTGGAGTGGTTAGCTTGAAGTCCCTACCCCCAGGGTCTTAACTCAGTGCACCCAGCTCAGCTTTCCTCCTGCCACATCTGCTAGAGTTGCCCTTAATTAGTCTGTGTGGTGGAAGAGTAGATGGTGCATGAGCCTGTATGCTTATGCATACATCTGCATGCCATTTGCAGCGCACCTAAAATCCATACATATGTCTATAATCTAGTTTTTAAATGATGACGTGGATCGAAGTTAATTACCCCTCTGGTACAGATCTAATTTCCTAATCGTGTTATTTTACTAAAGGCAATTAACTGAGTTGGTTTGCCCTGAATCCCTTCCTAAGACATTTGTAAGGAAAGAAAAGTCTTAAAAGACCACGCCATGAGTGTTCCGCTGAAGAAACCTTTGTCAGTAGTCTCCTACTGTCAGAGAAGAAATCTAGCAGATAAAATCGAATATAAACATGCGTGTTTGTATGTCCGACAAACACACGAATATGCCTCTGATACCCTGATTTTGGTTGGGAATTTTTGGGAAAAGATCAGAATCCCAGGGAGGGCTGGGTCATCCTTCTTTGTATGGAAAAAAAA